CAAATTCAGTGTATTCTTCTCCCTGATGCTTTGAGTACTTGCATACTTTTTTAATGCAGGACGAGGCTGTTAACTGAGAGTGAAGGCTCAGTAAATATAGCTTGTATTCAGGTCTTCAAAGTTTAAATCTTAAATAAAAATCTAAACTTTAATAGTGCATGGACAGATTTATTTGCTTTCACCACCAACGTTGCTGTCTTACTGTTATGCTTTGATCTACAGTAAGAAATTAGACTTAAAAGGCTCAAATATGTGTTGTGGCTCCAGACACAAAAATATCTCTTTTGATAGTGAAAGTTGCTGACCCTTGGGCTGACTAAACAGGTAGTTTACATTATACTTATGCTGGGTCACAAACAAGTCACAAGCAAATCAAAAGTTTCACTTCCTTCCTATTATTATCCAAACTGTTCCACTTATCTAATGGAGCAACAGGCTCTGCTTTGTACGTCCTATACCTTATGATACATTAAAACACAGTCGTTGTCTTTGTCTCATAGGCGTTCCTCGTGGATCATATTTCCGCTCACACTCAACCAGCTTTCACATCCTGGCAGCAGTACAGTAGTCATGTGGTGTTAACACAGACACAGACAAACATTGTGTTTATTCAGGCATGTACCCTTGCATGGTAATTGCTTATGTTCATCTCTCTTACATTATATTTAAATGCATTATACAACATTTTAACGCAATTTCCATAGCACAGTATTTTTGATTATTTGTCTCCATAAATTCCCAGGACCCTCACTTCTACGACACCGGACGCCAAAAAGAACTCCGTCGACTTCGCAACTCTGCTGGTTTTGATTTAGACGAAGACACGCCCCCCCTTTGTAGCCCCTCCCACCACTCGCTCTCTACCTCCATCTCTCTCTTTTTCTCACACACTAATCCATTCATCCTCCATCTCTGTCGGACCAAACACTGGAATAACAAACCAGGGGAAGTCTCATTCATCTGCAGGATGAATGTTTACACAGCATGTTCTCTCTCTCTCCATGGTTTCACTTGCTGGATCACTCTCTCTCTCTTTCTCTCTCTCTCACTCTCGTCCTCATTCATTCACTATCTCTCTCTCTCTCTCTCTCTCTCTCTCTCTCTCTCACACTCTCGTCCTCATTCATTCACTATCTCTCTCTCTCTGTTTTTCTTACACTGCTGTTTTTGCTGCTTTTCCGCACAGGCTGTAATGGTACTGTATGGGGGTTAATGGGGTGTGCATGTGTGTGTCGAGGAGGGGGGAGGGCATCCGAAAGCAACGAAAACAACACACACACACGCACACACACACACACACACACACACACACACACACACACACACACACACTGAGGAGGGCCCCGAACCTTAACTTCAGTTAAATCCAACTCAAACTATTGTCTGAATATTATCTGAAAAATTGATTCCTGTGAAAGTGAAAAAAGAGTTTGTCTTAATGTGTTTATAGATTAACTTTGATTGCTCAGAGCCCAAGGAAGATAATATATTGATTTACAGTCTTGATGTGCATTTCAGCAGGTTGAAGCATATTCAAATGGATGTTATAGATTATGCTGACACACACATTTCAGTCAGCCAACTCACATGGAATGTTAATTAAACAGTATAGCATATTTACATTTTGGCGTCCGGGCTCCGACCTCATCACTCCCCACAGATATGTTTACATGAGATATTGGGGAGTGATGCGCAAATACCTTAACCCCCAGTCGGAGCCTACAGGTGGATGCTGGGGTGGTGGTGGGGCTTACAGCGCAGCAGGCAGCAATCGCTTACAGAGCAGCAGCAGCAGCAGCAATACGGATGCAAGGCAACAGCGGCATTGACAGAGCAGAGGGAGACCTGGGAAACTGTGCAGTTTAAATAGACCGCCAGATTGGAAGGGAGCGCTTGGTTAGTGATTATGGAATAAGGCATGTCATGTGTGTAGTCAGCGCAGCTCGAGTTGACCTGCCTGAACTAGCTCGCAGGCTTCGCTCCATATACTCCATAAAAGCTGCCATTTTGTCACATTTACTCGCTGGCTTGATCAGCATATTCTAGGTACTGTACACTGAATTTTCTGTGTTGTACCTAACCTGCCTCCTAGATATGAAGTCTGTACATTAGTAAATTGTTTCTATAATTACATTGTGGTGACTACCTGGTACCTGCTTGGAGTCAGAGACAGAAACACTACATTGTAACATGTAACGTGATGGAGGCACAAGGAGATGATTGGGGTAGATGACTAGGTTCAAAGTGCAGAACTTCCACACCACAGTCCAGAATCTGCTCCCAGAGTCCTGCAACAGAAGCACTTTGGTTAGGTTTAGGGCTGAGAGCAGCAACCTTTACTCTCAAAAGAGACATTTTTGGCCAAAAAAGAGAAACTAAATCTGTCTGGAGCCGTAATATAATGCAGATCACTGAAACGTATGTAACACTTTAGTTACAGAAATGTTTTTTATTTGGTGTTTATATGGCGACACATTTGTGCAATTGGAGAATGTGAAATGAAAACGAAAATGTTTTGTTGAAGCCACAGTGAGCGACTACAGAGGGGCTAAAGAGCTGCATGTTGCTCCAGAGCCACAGGTTTACTACCACTGGTTCAGGGAAAGAATGTGATTTTGTTTAGGTTTAGGTAATAAAAGAACTTTGGTTAAAAAGATCTTTTTGGTTGAAAAGTTAATGTAAAGTCTGATAAATGTAAAGCTGTAGTCACTACGAGTGGATAGTAATTGCAAGACACCAAATAAAAGTTTTCAGTGAACATTTTAATGATACATTCAGTATCAACATCTAACAGGTCTGTTAATTAATGGTAATGGAAACATAAATGGATCAGCATTATGTTTCTCTCAAAAGATATTTGCTGTTGCAGATTATATATAAACATAATTTGGAAGAAGTACAGTGTATATTATTTATTTCTATTCTTACTAATCTGTATATACATATATTTTACACTTGCTTTTGTACCAATAAAACCTCTTTGAATAGAATAGAATTGAATTGAATTGTGTGCTATGGTTGTCTAATGAAACCACGCTACACGACTTGTGACTTTGACGTGACTTTACTCTCCACAGTAGAGGTTTTCTGACTACTACAGTGCACATTAACCCTTGTATTATGTTGAAAAAAATGACATTGATTATGTTGCGGGTCATTTTGACCCGTACTGTGTAAATGCACTCAAAACAGTCAAGAAAACAGGTTAAACCAATAACAACTTTATTTTAGGTTATATAAACATTTAGAAAAGTGACATACAATACATTTTAATTCCAACACCATATTTAAGAAATATTTAGTCTAATCCTCTTGTCCTCCTCTCGGGTCAAAATGACAATTCTTCCCTCCTTCTTTCCTCCTGCCATGCTCTCTCCTTCCTTCTTCTCATCCTGTTTTCCTTCTCTCTGTTCATCCTCCTCTATTCCCTTCTTTTCTCTCTTCCTTCCTTCCTTCCTTTCTCCCTTCTTACCTTCCTACCTTCCTTCCTTCCTCCCTTCCTCCTTCCTTGACCAAAGAAAGCACAAGGGCTAAGATATGAGGGGATTTGAAGAGCTGAAATGCTGATTGAATCTCATCAACTCGTGTGACAGCAAATCTTGTAGGACCGGGAGTCATTTTGATCACATTGGAAGATGATAGTCTGCCTCGGCTTGGGTGTGGTGATTTTTGGACCATTTTATATTACCGTCCTTAGATGCCCATGTCCCCTCTGTGGATGATGATTGCTGCATTCCTTGGTTTTCATCTGTTGGAGGAACAACGGCAGACTCGTCCTCTGAATCCTCCTCATCGTAGGAAAATTGACAATCTGGATCAGCAATAACATTGTCCTCTGTCTCTGAAAAATCCTCTGTTTCTGAAATCTCTTCCTCTACATCACTATCCCAGTTAAAAATCTGTGATAAAGCCTCCTCAGTTGTCATCCTTCTGGAGCTCATTTTTGGTGAGTTTGTCAAAGAGATGACATGAGAACAGTGACAAGGACAAGTGTGAGAAAGTTCCCTCTCTTCACACACCTGGCTCTGGGTCTCAGAGGCAATCAAAATACAAACAATTGTACATCAAAGTAAAAAGTACATCAAAGAGACATGTATATTTTGGATCTGAACAGCTATTTACCCACATTAAAGCGTCCGGGTCAAAATGACCCGCAACATCATCTTTGTATACCAACTCTGCACAGACATTCCACTACACATCAAAGTGTCCAGATTTTACACACCAGTTCATGACCCTAGATGAGGAAAAGTCACCAAATTTCAGCAAGAAAAAGAAAGGATAACCAGTACTTTGATCAACACAAAAACTGAAATGGGTCAAATTGACCCTTAACATAATACAAGGGTTAATCAGCTGATTTATAGTCCAGTGTAGGATCTAACTCAGTGTATCTGTATTATGAAATATCATACAGTTTTCCTTTTATTTTGGATGTTCTATGTGACTGAAAATGTGTAATCTTACATATTGTGGTATTTCTGATTTCCTGTTTTTGAGGAAGCTCCACCCTATATCAAGAACATTTTGCTATCAGATCAAAACCACACATCCTCTCTGTCTTTTCTTCTCTTTCTTTTTTCTTTCTTTTCCCCACCCTCAGCCATCCCTTTGTGTTATTTTGGTAACACTCAGGCAGCTGAGCGTGGAGTGTGTGTTCCCCAGTTGAAGGAGACGGGGTAATTTTTCACGCTGTGGATATAAGATTTGAAATATTTCCCTCTCACCCTGAGACCCTCAGCTCATTATTTCAAGCCTGTGTGAAGGGTGCTGGGGGCCCGAGCTGGGTAGGGGGTGGGGCACCTGTGACACATTTGTGGGTCCTGACCCTTAATTTTGAGAACCTCCTGCAGTAATGCAACACCTCTGGGAAACACAGAAGTTGAGCTGTTCTTTGAATGTTGGTGGTCTTCAGTAGCTGATAATATTGTATCTGTCAGATGATGAAGTTGCCAGTTAAATTGAGATAAAGCAGATCTTTAAAACGGATGCGAGAGTCAGAACTAATTTTGTTCTTAATGTTACTACGTCATCAGTTTGCTTGTGTAAATATGCTGAAATAAAACCTGGAGGGAAAACGAGAACTTTGTTGTGAGGAAGCGCCATGTTGTCCCTTAAATCAAAGGTTTATTCTCTCCACGGTGGCCATCTTTAGCTTTTTACAGTGCCAAATATGGACTTCGAACTTTGCAAGCCTTAGCGTTACCTAAAGGGGTCCTGTGAAGTCTATTTCGTAAAGAAACAGTTATGATTCAAAGTAAACTGTAGGTAATCATGTGATATGATAGAAAGCTTCAGAACAGCTTCTAAATGGACTCTGTGCTGAGATTGTTTGTTCGTCTGCTGTTTCCAAGGTCAAGAATGAACATTCAATCTCATCTTCTCAGCAAATATCACTGAAAAGCCCTCAGAGTGGTCTAAAAATAAAACATTAAACATTTACTACATCCCCGATAACAAACTGATGAAGATCGTGTGATACGAGTGAAAGCTGATGTTTAATGGATTAGCTTCTTCGTAAAATACTTGCAGAGACGATTTTTTGAGTTTTCTTCTTGTGAAACAGGACAATCTCATAAAAAACATTGCTCCATGGTGCTTTCAAATGTACTCCAAAAAAACCTCCACAGGAAATCTTAAAGCTCAGCTGGGGCTCATTCATGTTGCAGATCCAGATGCAGATTTAAAAATTGTACATTTTTGCTTTGACTGATGTCCCCTGTGAGGGCTTTTTAGTTTTAACTGCATCAAGAGACAAAGTCAGTATGTTTTTACATTTTCTGTAGAAAACATCTGATATGTTCTATGTTCAGAATCAGGTTTATTGCCAAGTGGGTTTTCACATACAAGGAATTTGCCTTGGTAAGTTGGTGCATAACAATTACACATAGAAAAATATAAACAAAGATAAAAACAGAGGCAATAAAAGGAGCCAGTATATACAAATATAAAAAGAGAATATAAACAAGTGAAGAGCTGTACAGAAATGTGCAAAGATAAAGTCAAAGGAGGAGGAGCCGGAGATCGAATCAACGACCTTCCAATTAGTTAATGAGGCCAGCTGCAGATGGGAAGAAACTGTTCTTGTGGCAGGATGTTTTGGACCTGATGGACCGCAGCCTCCTGCCAGAGGGAAGTGACTAAAAGAGGTTGTGTCCGGGGTGGGAGGGGTCAGCCACAGTCTTACCTGCACGCCTCCGGGTCCTGGAGGCGTACAGATCCTGGAGAGATGGCAGATTGCAGCCGACCACCTTCTCAGTGGAGCGAATGATCAGCTGCAGTCTGCCCTTGTCCTTGGCAGTGGCAGCAGCGTACCAGACAGTGATGGAGGAGGTGAGGATGAACTCGATGATGGCGGTGTACCATCATCGTTTTTGGCAGGTTGAACCTCTTCAGCTGCCACAGGAAGTACATCCTCTGTTGTGCTTTTTTTGGTGAGGTTCACTTGAGGTCCTGGGTTATTATGGTACCCAGGAAGTGGAGTCGACTGGGGAGTCACACAGGATGATGGGGGTGGGTGGGGCTGGGTTCTTCCTGAAGTCCACAGCCATCTACACTTCTTGCATCTTAAGAGCATTAAGCTCCAGATTGTTCTGGCTACACCAGGTCACCACATGGTCAATCTCCCACCTGTAGGCGGACTCATCTTCACCTGAGATGAGCCCAATGAGGGTGGTGTCGAACTTCAGGAGCCTGACGGACTGATGACTGGAGGTGCAGTTTAGAAAAGACATAAATGGGAGCAGATTACTTTTGAGTCTGAGTGCATACGTCTAGTTGAACATAAATAGCTCCCAAAACTGCGAACAGTTTATTGATCGTAACCACGGCAATGTTTCTGAAAACACATGTTGCTTTTCAGTGTTTTTTAAATGAAATCCCATTCTTATCTTTTTTTAGCCGTCCCACTGTTGGGTATCTTTAAACTAAAGCATGTAGAATAAATCTAAAACTCATACCTAAGAGGGAAGAGGAAGAAGAAGTGGGAAAATGTTTTTTTGCGATATGGGTGAAATGACTCTAAGCTCATTCCTTCTCTGATGGTTTCCTCTCCTTCTGCTGTCCCCAGAGGAGGATTTTCCAAGAAATTCCCACGCCTTCTTAGAAGTGGCTGAATGGAATTCCTCAAGCAGCTTTTTTCCTTTCTTTTTTTTCTTTTTTTCACTGTAAGGCCTCACTTCTTTCTTCACGCCTCTCTTTCATCTCGCTCTTGCTCTCCCCCCCTTTCACTTTCTTTGTTCCTTGCTCCCGCTCTCTCACCCTGTCCACAGTTTTTCTCACCTTCCCTGTCCGCCTTCTTTCTTTCTTTCTTTCTTTCTTTCTTTCTCTCTTTCTTAGATGATGCTGACTGCAGAAAGACTGAACCACTTTAAAGCCATGCTCTCTTTCTGTAAGATTTCAAGGCGTGTTTGTTTCTTGTTGCCTGACTTTGACAGGAAGTTGTGGTACCCATGGCAACAGAGTACCTGTTTTTGTGGTCTGTGGTCCGACACACGAGCACATGCGTGCACAGTGACATCAGCTGTGTCTTTCCAGTGTGATCTGTGATGTTTTGCACCGCCACAAGACAGTGAGCTTAAAGGAAACTTCTTGTTAAAGTTCACAAAGTTGATGCCGCACTTCTAGGAAATATCATGACAAAGAAACAGCAGGAAACATGTTACTGTTTTCATACCACTAGTATCTCTGGGTATCTAAGTGGAAGCATAATGCAGCCTATTTGTAGGTTTTATTTTGTTAATGATGTCTTCATGTCTTCCTGACTCAAGTGTCAAGTGATTTGTGTGGCCATCAGCACTGTTGTTGTTGTTGTTGTCTACATATAGGAGCTCTGTGAGGATGTTCTTAGCCACAACTTAGGCGAGCTAAATGCTATGTCATCTTGCTAACATGCACATAATGATTTTGCTATCACAACCTGGATTTGAAAATTAGCAACAATAAAAGAGTCTGCATATTACTCCTTCTTAAATAATTGAGTCACCATGTTGGGTCTTTGCAACCAGTAACCGGTGATGTACTGCTGTTGAGGTGCACTTACTGGCTTTGGTTTCAACTTGTCCACAGCAGTAAACAATGTTTGATGATTGATGAGGATGAATGATAAAACTTGTTAGAAATAAACAGTACACTAAAATATGTTGTTGAGCTGGACGGACTCACCGAGACTGTCAATCACAAGGTAGCCACACCCTAAAACATACCCTGTTTTATTACGTACATTCTACTCTAAATTGTACCATAATTTACAAAATGAACATCATGCTGTATGGAAGACTTGAAACAAACAATTGAGACCATAAAGTCATTAGGAAACTGAACACTGAGCTAATAAATCAAGTGGGAGTTAGGGTCATTTTTCCATTAGGTTGAATCTATTAGGTCCAGTGGATCGAAGCTCCACCTCTCACTCTTGGTCTGGATAGTCGCTGAAAGAATGAGATAACGGAGACAAAAGACCAAAATGTGATTATTTGGCAGGTTGTCTGGGCTCAGCCTTAGATACAGAGTCAGCAGCTCTGCATCGGATCACGACACCTCCCAGTGAAGGTTCTCACCTTTAGGGAAGAAGCACAAGAATTTAAGTCTTATTTCAGATCCTAGCATATCATTTTTGTTTTATATTTGATTTATTTTTTACTATTTTAAGGTCGGATTTGAATGTTTTTTTTTCCACGTAATCTTAGCTAAGTATATGTTTTTGCTGTATTACTATCTCGATTGTCATCAGATTTCTAGGTTACAACCGAATGTTCCTGTTTTTAGAAGAGGATTTAGTATACATTGAACTCAGAGGAAACCCCAGGCAGACTCAGAGCTTCTGAGATTATGCGTTTTATCTGGGTTGGGGTTGAGGAGCCCTCCAAATCTGACAAAAAGGGCTACTGTGGAAAGCTGCAAAATCCCTCTGTTATAAAGGGTTACCTCTAGTTGGGTGTCTGATGCTAAGTAGCACATAAAGCATACTGTTTATTCTATACAGGAGTAAACTGTGTGATGTAAGGCAGGGAGGAGGGAGGGAGAAGCAGCACAGAACTACATGCTTTATCTGCAAACCTTCCCTGTGTATATACAGATTAACTCAGTAAAAAAGTCCTCAGAAAGATGTTTTTCTTTAAGCCATGTCTCTTTACTGACTTCACTCATCTGTCAAGTCAGGTGAAAGGGAATGAAGGCACTCCCACTGTTTATACAGGTAGGTATTATCTGCCTGACATTTACCCATAAGGCCCCTTCAGCTGTACAGTATATTTACTGTCTGAGGCAATACTGTGGATGTAATCATGCTGTCCATGGACTGACTGGGAGGAGTTACAGTAAACTTCATTACCAGACTGTTGAGTTTGGAACGCTGGACTTTTTTCAGTATAATGTATGAATCAGCATTGATGCTTTGCTTGCCTGTGCCTCAGAGCGAGGACTTACTCAAAACACATCCATTATTACAAGCCTGTACACCTACTTGCCTTATGTCGGCACATATAAGCACATATCACATCCATCCTTTTATACATGATGACTGCAAAACATGGCTGTAAATACAATTCAGCACCGAAAATGAGCCGGTCCAGCGGCTCAAGCGCAAATGGTCCAGAGCGAGTCTTTTTTTTCGTTTCCGATGTCTGATTTAAAGTGACGTTTAAGACATAGCGCCCCCATGCTTCAATGGTGAGGACAAGAATTGCATGCAGGCCAGTATCTTTATTAAAGTGAAATAGTGATGCGTAATGCGCAAATCATACATTAAAAATAGCCTAATTTTACACATGATCCATGATTATGATAATACAAAAAAACAAAAAACAAAACAAAAAGGAAATGCATGGGAAAAAACAGCATTTTGGCAATATTTTAGAGACCCCCCCAAATTTCACAAATCATGTTTTCAGGGGAGCTCATGTCTCATTAAGGGGGGCTGAGACCCCCCTGGCTCCGCCGTAGTTCGCACCCTGGATTTTACACTCTCTAATAATAAAGTCTGCAGTTCTAAATGTTAGTAAATCAGGGTTGTCTAATCCCGGACATATAACTTTGCAAGTATCTCAAGCCACACTGGCATACTTATATACCTTTTAAGTGCTTATGTGCACAGTAGCATTCATTCGGTGCCATGTTTGTGTCCACCTGAGGAAAGTAAATCCAGCTCTGTAGAGCAGAGGGGGACTGCAGAGTCAGGTGATAATCCTCTGTGGGTGACCCTTTACATACATTTAGTCATGCAATCTTTTGTTAAAGCGCAATTTGGCATGAAGAAGGTCAAACACTGGATTAAAGAGGAGGGAAAATCTGTGGCAACTCACAATTAATTATTCATATTAATCAGCGAATTGTTTACTTATACCATTAAGAAAACATTAGTTACAACTTACAAAGGCTGTTTTTTAACAAAGGTTTTTATAAAAGGTGCTGTATACATCACTTTCTTTTTCACACCTACACTACTTAGAGCTATATAGACACACACCCTAACCGCAACTCAAACCTGCACACACACACGCACACACACACACACACATTGAAAGGTAGAATCCCATGGGAATCAGTGTGTGGGTGTGTTTGGTTTGGCACATTTTCATCTGTACATGTTACCTGACACACAGATCAAAGGTAGGTGTGTGTGTGTGTGTGTGTGTGTGTGTGTGTGTGTGTGTGTGTGTGTGTGTGTGTGTGTGTGTGTGTGTGTGTGTGTGTGTGTGTGTGTGTGTGTGTGTGTGTGTTGATGAAGAGTTAAGAAACCGGAACCTGCTCTGTACTGAAGCCAAAACTTTATCTTCATTACCTTGCGTGTGTTCGTGACCAGGAAGTTTTGTTTTGGTTTTTAGTCAGTTCTTGGTTCACCAGCTGACTTTATCATAGCTCAGATCAATAACACCTTCCACAGACACACAGACACACACACAAATTTCCTGTCTCTGAAAAAATATGTCAAATTATTGAAACAAAAACAATGACAAGTGTAAAGGGACCTGTGTTTGTGCCCTGGGTTCAGCCTCTCGGGCTGCATTACAAATTCTGCCTTTTAGGATTAGTATTGGCACCATGATTCCAACCTTTACCATCTTTAATTTAAAACATTTCATTGGCAGAGTCTGCATAGAAGACAATTGTACAATAGCAAGTGTCTAACTGATGTAGTCACATTTGCATTCATGAGACTGGGTTGATATGTCAGTAAAATATTTAGGCTGTTACAAGTTGTTGAGTTGCACAGTGGCACAGAACAGTTATATTGATGCATTATTTGTTTTATACATCACACAAGACAATTTTGGTCATGTTTCCCTTATATTTGCTCTCCCTATTGCTGATTTTTCATATAATATCAAAAACTACAACATTATGTGGACATGTTGAGGCACATGTTCACAGCCAGGCTGACGTCCCTACTTGAAACCCAATGTGAAAATAATCTAAATCAACAGTGTATCTTACAAAATGTATTATAGAAGCAAACTAAAATCCCCAAATCTACAAACCCAACTAAAACAGACATAATTCCACCTGTGGTGCCTCATATAAACAACAAAAGGAAACAACTTGAAGTTAAATCTTTAGTGTGCGTATTTCTTTGACACATTTTAACAAAGGAAGTTATAGAAAGTTATCTGAACAACAGTGTTGACAGAAGTTGTATTTAAAATAAAATAAAAAATCTGAGTTTCACAGTCAAAATGAAAAACTTTATTAAAGTAAGAAACCTTAAAATTTTGTGATTTCTCAACTTCTTCTTTTTTAGTGCAGACAGTTTGGTGACCTGTGTCTGAGATGATCAGTTAATAATCTACCATGAGCTGTGTCGTTATTGTTAAATGACATTTAATAAAGTTTTACTTTTGCATTTTTATACTTTTGTGTGCACAGTGTTAATTTTTTGTTGTCTCAGTCTTTGTCAGATTTTGAATATATGTTGTTTTACCAGTGGCTGTAATGTGTAACAGCTGAACCCAGTAATGATGCTTTCTCAGAGCTGTGAGGTCCAGTAATTTATGACCAGATCAAATCATCCTCTCAGTCATAAGTCATGGCTCCACTGGCTTCTAAGAAATGTCGGTATAATTGAGCTTCAAAGAGTTGCTGACTAATGAAATTAGAATCAGTTGTCATCAGTGAACTGCAGCAGCGACTGTCAGAGATCAGCTTTAGAAGAGAAAAAAAGGGACTTTTTGTTTACAGAGCAAACTTGTAGGTGCAGTTTGCTGCTGTTGCTTAACAGAATCCTTTAATATGAAAAACTCTCTCTCTCTCTCTCTCTCTCTCTCTCTCTCTTAATCAACTGTTGCATCAGTGTCTCTCTCCCACACACACGTTCCAGTTCATCAGATGTATTTGGCTGAACGTTTTTCAAAGGGAGCAATATGAAAATGAAGGAAACAGATTCTTACTTTATCAAACTTATGATCGAGATCCCTCAGTCTGTCCTTCCTTTCAGGTTAGTGTGTGTATGTGTATGTGTGTGTGTGTGTGTGTGTGTGTGTGTGTGTGTGTGTGTTTTATCACTGACAGAGTTATACTTCTTTGGTACGTAGACCGGGCTCTGTAAATAGTGTCCTGCCCTCTGTGATTGTTCAGCATGGGAAAGTATTTCAAAGGAGGAGTGATTCACACTGTCAGCTCCTCTGGCATTCAAAGTGTGTGTGTGGGATGGGGGGGGAGCTTGAGAAAGAGAGAGAGAGAGAGAGAGAGAGAGAGAGAGAGAGAAAAAAAAAAAATGCTTGCAAATTTCACCAATTACTGACCTTTTCTGCATAAAATAACCGAGTTCAGAGAACTCTTAACAAATCAACCTAGTTAGAAATATGAACTGTAATGAGACTTTTTTTCCCTGGAAGTTGTTTTAGAGGCCGATCACATAGAGACGCATCGCTAATTGCTCCTGATGCTGTGTCATCAGTGTGTGAATGTGTGTGAATGAATTAGTTTTTGTTTGTGATGAGCTTTCGCCATCGTGCGTGTGAGTGTGTGAATGTGACATTTAGTGTAAAGCACTTTGATTTGTCAGAAGACCTGAAAGGTGCAATATAAGTACAGTCCATTTACCATTTTAACTGTTTACAGGCAAAGAGCGAATAAACTGCCGGTGCACCTGTGGAGCAACCGGGCATTAAAAATACGATAAAGTGCATTGAAGCAGACATCAAGCGTTGGATATTAACTGAGGTTACTTGGGTTTACCCCCCACTGCACCCCTGATCCTTAGCTCTCTCACAGTCAAACAGCTAGCGAACTAGCAAGTTAAGTAACCTATTTATTAGGCATAGTAAATGGCATCAAAATAGAAAGGTAGTGGTGAAGTGGTAAAATCATGCCTCTTATGTGACTTGATGGGTTGTCTGGGCCAAGTGTGACACTGACGAGCCAGGCGCCAGGCGTGCCGTACCATAAGAAAAGAACGAGTGACAAGTTTCTAGCAATGTGTCCCTCAGTCAGCTCATGTGTATTGTCACAGAAAATCTTCAGCAATTAAAATGGCAGAAATCCCTCTGTGGTTAGTCTCTGTGGTTATGACTGATCCCTAATCTGACTAATTTCACTTGTCCTTTTTACGCTGACTAGTTCCTCAGACATTTAGTCTTTTGTACTGTTAATTAATCCCTAACACATTTGATTAGTCTGTCCAACATTTGACTAGTCCTTCTGATATTTTACTAGTTCTTCATTTACAGTATTAGTCAGACAGAAGTTGTTTTTTCTGGCGGAGTTGTTTATTGACTACCGGTTGCTCACAGCAGCATTCAGCATTCAAATTTAAGATATACTTTACATTTACATGCGTTTATTGATTATTATGAACATCTGAATATTTTTCCTGCTAAAAAGTAAAATACAACATTACACCCATCAGCAAAGATGTGTTTGTGCAAGGATTACATGTCAGTTACACAGATATATAGCTGTGTGGAAATAGATGCATAATGTTGTGGTCTTTTTGTATCTGTGGCTGTAGGGAGTTCAGTATGACGCAGGGATGAATCATGTGTGTGTTTATGATTTGGAGCTTGGTGGGAGCAGGTATAAACTCCTCGGGGGAGTGTATCAGTTTTAAAGGTGTCAGTCAAGAATGGAGCACAGGGGCGTGGACGTATCCCACGATCCTCTGGGAGCAAGAATCAATTTCACAACCCAAATGATAGTGTTACTCTCTCTCTCTCTCTCTCACACACACACACACACACACACACACTCACACACACAATTATACATTGTTACTCAAGCATTAAATGACACACATTCTGATGATATCTCACTCTCTTTCTTTCACGTGCATACCCTCATACTCCGCTCTCCTTCTTCCTCAACCGTTTTCCTTTTCTCCTGTCACTGTATCTTTCCACTTCACCTTTCTTTCTCTCAGTTTTTCTGTCACACGTACAGTTTGCACAGAAATTCTCCCCTGTCTTTTTTTTTTTTACATCTCTATAACAGGCAGGAACCTGCATGTTGGGTGTACACACTCTGTTAATCTGCTCAGGCTTTACTGTACAGCTTTATTGGTGCTTTCAAGTGAGGAATGCCTTTGATTCATCATCTGAAACATTGCTCAACTTCATACTCAGCAGTGCAGTGAAGAACTGTAGTGTGCATGTTTCAGCCTTCAGCACACACAGCTATCAATCAATCAATCAATCAATCAATAACCAGAGCTTTTAAAGTTATGACTATTTACACTAGAAGGGGAAAAGGGCTTGCAAATTAGAGGGACAAGGGTTAGGTTTACAAGTGTGACTATAAGTCCATTTGTTGGCAGTCTATAGTTAATTTATCGTCACAGAGACTTAGAAAGTGTATTTGCCCATATTTAGACGAAGAATGTTTCATGCAGGACCAACTGGATTTGTATCATCAGATGATTTTTCAACTTTTGAAAAGTTATTATAATCATAGTTATTATAATGTTCAGAGGGCTTAGGGATCTCTTTTAATGCTACTCTAAAGGTTTTATATAAATGTTACACAGGCAGTCACTGCATTTCCTTTCAACTGAGGTTTGATGAAAAACATTTGGTTAGATTGAAGAAAAAAGATCATAAATTGGGTTCAAATAAGTTCTTAGTGGTTTGTGTTCAAATGAATACTTCATTAAGGTTGGGGCACTGTCGGGAGGGCAGTCTAATTAAGAGATATGTGTTCATAACTTAAAAAGATATTCAGTATAAGACAATAAACAGATTGTTCGGTTTTATGGCACCCTTTTATGGCAGAGCTTTGATTCAAAGTAGTTTATTGTCATTACAAGTTCTGTTTCATGTTAGTTAATGTTAGGGATGCATTAGCTGATTAGCATCAGCTGTTTCATTCATACCTTACAATCACTGGCTGTGTCTCCCTGATGACTAGAAACATCCAGTCACATTCATTCTGTGCTCCCCTTAAATCACATTAAAGTATAAAGTATAATTATGACATTGTGACATTAAAACAATAAAAGCAAATAATGGTCAAATCCTATGTGAGACCTGTTGTGTCTAGCAGGTAATAAATGAGTATTGACCAGAGCCAGCTTGTATTCTGGTTGAGTCATATTGTACAAATTGGGATGTAATCCTATCCGTCAATCCGTCTCGATTGGTCGGCCATGCAAATTTGCAGGTCAAAGTTCACCTTTGTTCGGCTTTGACCTGGTGGACTGAAACACGAAAAACTTTATTGAATTTGTCACGTGGGCTATTGAAGTCCTTAAATGCCTCACACAAGTATTCACGTCCACCAATAAACACTCACTGCAGCGTTCCACATGTAGACACATTTTCAGGAAGGTGTAGTCGTTGAACACAACATAAACACTTTTTAGGAGTATAACAAGATGTTCAGCTCATTATATGACTTTCTTTGGGTTCTTTCAACCATGCCATGTTCCTCCCTGTTGCTCAACGTGGTGCTTCAAGGGCTGAATATAACATACATTTATGGATTTTTGTGGATGCAAGAACCCTTTTTAAACTAGGCATGGGGATGTTCTGCAGATGCTCACCCAGCAGCGATGTCAGTTTCTCTCCGTCTGCTCTTTTCACTGGAAATGGGAGTCAGAGTTTCCTCAGCTGGGTGAGACGGCTAGGAGGCTGCAGTTACAGCTTCAGTGGGAGGCAGGGGTGACGACAGTGGTAAACTATGGGACAGTCTTTCTGTTACAGCCAGCAGATTATGCTGCTTTTAAAGGACTAGTGTGTAGGATTTAGTGGCATCTAGTGGTGAAGTTGCACACTTCAACCATTTGAATACAGCTCGGGATTCTAGGGAGACAATGCCCAGTGGAACAGGAAGTTTCTTTGCTTCCGGGCCCACCGGGACCAGCCCTTAAAGGTCAAGTGTCTCAGACAGGGAGCCACTGTTTTGGCTGCTGAAGACCAGACTGCTTGAAGATGCGTTGACGTGACACATCAGGCTCATCCAGTGAATAATGCATCGGATGCATCGAAGCTCTTTTACAGATTTTAATCTATTCAGCAGAGTACATCGGTTGACAAACAGAACTCACTCGCCTTGCACAACCGACCCAAAGTCTACAGCTCTGGTTTCTCAGCTACCAAAACAAATAACAAAAATGTTATCTTCTCCTCTTAATGTACCTGTGACCACAAAAGCAAGGTAAAACATGTCATGGATTTCATGTAATACACCCCTAGTTCTTGTGTGGCCACATATGAAAACCCCTGCATCATGTTTCAGCTTTTCAGAAAGAACTTTGAAAGAAAACCTATTAACATAATAAACACAGGCTGATAGGAATGTTGATTTTATTGAATAAAGATGACACTGGAATTTGTAACGAATACATTTTAGATCCTGGAGGAACAGTGAGTACATGACACACCCACACACGCACACACACACACACACACACACACACACACACACACACACTCACTCACACGCCTTAACGGATGCCTGGTCTTCTTGCTGCCTTTTATGGCAGTTCCTGTGACACAGCACTGATACACGTGAGGGTTTTTAAACCGTTTCTCCCGGCCGCAAGATCATATTTCAGTGTGCACTCACACACACACACACACACACACACACACACACATGCACACATTGACAGGCAGCGTGCACACGTAACAGCTGCTGCAAGCCGAGACACTTCACTGGATAAGAGATACGGGGGATAGACAAGAAAGAAAGAGAGAGAGAAGGAAGCAAGGAAAGAACTGGAACAAAGACAGAGAAAAGGAGAGAGGAAGGAAGGAAGAAAAGGATCGAGGTATAAAAAAAAAGGAAGGAAGGTGAAAGGGTGAGAAGGTGTAACTGGGTTAGGGATGGAGGGATGAAGGAGTGATGCAGAAAGTAGTCGTGTTTCCATCCAAAAATATCTCAGATTTTAACCAACTTTTGAGTAATTTGGCAAAATGCGAACGTGTGATGCTTGTTTCCATCCACTACCATTAAGCAAGGTAGATACGCAGTTCTTCAGTCAGAAAACCAGCATTGACTCTTTCTCTAACTCTTTTTTTTAAATATAAAACAGAGCAGCTGGAGGTCAGGGGGTTACAGGCTTTACACA